GCTCTTTTTTGTCCCTGAAAAGGGTCTAGCACACGTCTTCTGTGTGTATATGTGATCATTGAAATGAGTTCAAAAGAAATAGCAAAGGATTTGTTGCTATGAAGATAAAGGTCAGGTGGGATTAAAGTGCAAGCTTTAAAATTACGACCCAAATGAGAACGATAAGGTTATTTAGAAAAGCTTTAAACCCATCTTTAGCAAGCTTTATAATCCTTGTTGTTAGTCAGGGTATTCTCCACAATCTGAATATATATTAGATTTCAAGAAGGCTTATCAACACTAAGAGCATGCATGTGCTACGAATATAGAACAGCATCCTAATGTTTGAGTGATCTGTCTCGATCTTTATCACTAATCAGCAAACACACAGATAAGCAGCATACATGAAAACATAAAGAACAAGCCTTAACTTTTTGCCCCCGGTTCAAACCAGACAAATATTTTCAGTCTGCAGCTGCACACCTTCCATCAACCCTCAGAATTTACAAGGATTAGATATGTCAGCACACAAGCCCCACCAGTCTCTGGGTTTTTTTTTTTCATATTCACACACATACAAACACATCTATAGAAGCCAAAGCTGTTAAAAGCTGGATTAAGTGTTTCCCTGGGAAGGAGCTATGTGTCCTGGCTGGGCTGTCAATGTGCTGTCAGATAGTTCTCCTCCTTTCTCCTGCTTTGCCCTCCACTTATAATCATAAATATAATAAGTACACAGTAACTGTAATCCACACTCAGATTGAGTTAGTGAGATGTAACTACAGTTCAACCTGGTTTCTAAAAACAAGCCTTGACCAACTAACATCATCATTGGACTAACTAGTTTTTGATTATGCCAAGGTGCTGGACAGAAGATTTTGGCTGTTTGCCGAACCTCAGCATCAGGAGGAACAGTGTGGTTTCCATTCCGACTGTAGAACATAGGACATACTCTACACCGACCGGAGGATGCTTAGGGGTTAATGTGTACATATGTGTTTTGTTGGCCTGGAGAGGCATTTGACCGTGTCTCAAGTGGTGCCCTGTGGGGGGCACTCCAGGAGTACAGTCAGGGGCCCTGTTTTAGGCACCATCCTGTCTCTGTACAAGCAGAGAAAGAGTTTGGTCTGCATTGAAGCCATTAACTCAAACCTATTTCCACAGCACGTTGGACTCTGACAGGGTTCCCCTCTGTCACCAGTCATGTTCATAACCTTTAAGGGCAGCATTTCCAGGTGCAGCCAAGGAAGAGGTTTGGTTAGAGGACCAGCAGATTTAGTCCTTGCTTTTGCACATGAATTGGCTCTGGTGGTTCCCTACTGCCAAGACCTACAGCATGCACTGTGGCAGCTGAGACTGAAGTGGCTGGGATGAGAATCAGCTCCTCCCAGTGCAAGGTCCTGATTCCTGATCTAAGAAGGTGACTTTTCCCCTTTAGTTTAGAGGAGAGTCGCAGCCTCAAGTGGAAGAGTTAACATATTTTGAGGTCATGTTCACAAGTTAGTGGAGAATGAAGTGCTTTCAGTTTACTGCTCGGTCAATGTTCCGATCATGACCGAAAAAACAAGAGCAGTACAAGCGGATGAAATGAGCTTTTTCCGCAGGGTGGCTCGGCACCTCCTCAGAGATAAGACAAGGGCCCAGCCCTTCAGGAGAGGCTCGGAGAATAGTGTCTTCTCATACACACAGAAAGAAGTAGGTGGTTCAAATATCTTTTTTGGATGCCCCTGGATGCCTCCCTTGGGAGTTGTTCCAGGCATGTCCCATCAAGAGAAGGCCAAGGGGACAACTCTTGACACAACGGAGGGACTATGTCTCTAAGCTGGGCTGGGTATGCCTCTGGCTTCCCACAGTAGAGCTAAGGGAAGTTCACAAATACCACCCTGTAAAAAGTAATTAGTAAGATTTTGCCATTTAAAGAGAAACATTTTGCTTTTACTACTGGCGTT